GTGATATAGAAGAGAGGGTCTCGAGTTCCCTAAAAGATTGGAGTTGTAGAAAATCAAAGAAGAAGGTCTCGTCCATTGATAATATTCAAGGCGCATCCGCATAGTGGGAACCGCATCTGGTTAGTGCTTTAAAATCTCACCATTTCCCCAAGCATGTCGTCTTTTCATGACTCTTCACTAGGTCTGACTCAGGAGGTGCATCCAAACAACAATATTTGTGTTCGGCCAGTGATTCTTGCCTCCAAACAAAGGGAAGCTCATATAGACATTAAAAACTCTTTAGGATTTGTGATTAAATACTTGCATTATGACAGTGGAAGTGAGGACAATTTTATTAAGAACCAGGAAAAAGAACATGTATTTTCCTAACAACTCTAGGAAAAAGTACTAGGTGCATCATCAATAATGTGAAATCTGTCAAAATTTAGACCATGCCTCAAGAGCTCTCTCATGATCCACTTTAAATCCAGCTAAAGAAAAATGTCTCTATCAGTGTAAGCATCCTTAGGATCTTTTCTGAAACACCTCTTCCTACACCAACATACTCATCTGCACCTACCTCAGTCTCAGCTACTCTCCCCATATCACAACAACTCTTCAGTAAAGCTATATTATCCAACTACTTCGTGTGCTTCTTATTCAACATCCCATCCTCCACCTCAGTGCCTTTACCTATACGAATCTAGGAAAACAAGCAACCAAAATGCACAGAGGCTTTATTCGTGGTCTTTTAACACCCGCTGCATCTCAACCATGATTGGGGAAAATAAACAAATACTTTGATTAATGCAAAGTGCATACATTAACTTCGCTCTCTCGGTGTACAGATCATTCTTTGTACTAAGGTACAATAGGTTGACAACATAAATCTTCAACATCTGATATTTATTAGTCAACTACCCCTGTTTAAGTATCTTGGGATTCTGAAGCCAAAAAAAATTGGGTTCCCTAGTCAATTCTTTCGCCACATACTTCGTATTTATCACTGTAGTCAAGGTAAATTATGGCCTAGATACCACATACACTCCGGTCACACTTAAAATTAGTGCAAAATCCACTATAAAACTAACCCCTCTAACAAAATTCAAAATCCTGCTCAGATCAATACGCTCATAAATGCAATAAAATTCCCTAATCAAAGGATTGGCACCCCTACCAAAACTTTCCATAAAATCAACCCAAGCCCTAATTCTTATAATTCCACTCGCACAACAAGCAGCAAAATCATACAAAACAACTGCCTTGCCTATGACAATATGCCTTCGATGCTTTTCGATGGTTGGGAAGCAAATGTGATGAAAATAATTCCTAAAACCATTCTCATCTACATTTACCCGCAGTTCAGTCACTGGTGAATTAGTTTGAAAATCTGCCCCTCGTTTGTCAACTGAGAAATGGATTTTTGGCCTATTCCCACATGCTTTCTTGGAAGACATTGTTGAACAAGGAAAAAGCTTTGAACACTTTGGGAAAAAGTGGGTTTTTAAAACTTTGATTCTAGCCCAAAACGAGAGATTTAAATGGTGTTTCCTTGTTTTAGTTGGTATTTAGTGAAGTTTGAAAGCAATTTGATAGAGTTCGGTGGAGTTTTTTGGTAGAAATCGGGAGAGAGAAGATAAGGCTTCGAGTTCTTTGAAATCTTGGAGTTGTATAAATCGGAGAAGAAAGTCCCGTCCATTGATAATATTCAAGGCGCGTCTAGGCAGTGAGAACAGCGTCTGGATAGTGCTTTAAAATTTCTCCATTTCCCCATGCATGTCTTCTTTTCACGACTCTTAACTAAGTAAGACTAAAGAGGTGCTTCTAGAAAGCAATATTGGCGTCCAGATAGTGATTCGTGTGTCTAAACAATGGGAAGTGCATCTAGAAATTGAAAACTCTTTAGAATTCGTGATTCAATACTTGCGTTATCACAGTGGAAGTGAGGACAATTTTATTAAAAACTAGGCACAAGAACATGAACTTTCATACAAACTCTAGGAAGAAGGACCAGGTGCATCATAAGGAATGTGAAACCTGTCAAGAATCAGACCACTCTAGACCTCTCTCATTATCCACTTTTGATCCTTCAAGATCTCAAGCAAAATGTATGTATTAGTGCCAGCATCCCTGGGATCTCTCACCAAAACTCCTCTTCCTCCACCAACATCCTCATCTGCACTTATTGCTGGCTCTGCTCTTTCCCCATAGCACTATGGCACTTCAGCAAAGCTGTATTACCCAACTGCTTCGTGTGCTTTTTCTTCAACATCCCATCCTCAACTTAATGCCTTTACCCGTACAAATTTGGGCAGACAAATAACCAAAATGCAAAGAGGCGTTATTCGTTGTCTATTTCATCACCCGCAGCATCTCAACCATGATTGTGGAAAATAAACAGATAGTCTGATTAGTGTTAAGCGTATAATAGCCCTAGTTTAAGCATCTTAAGATTCTAAAACCAAACAATGTAGTCGAGGTAAATTGTGGCCTAGATGCCACATTCACCCTGGCCACACTTAAAATCAATGCAGAATCCACTATTAAACTAACCCCTCTAACAAAATTCCAAATCCTCCTCAGATCAATATGCTTACAAGTGAAATAAAATACCTAATCAAAGGAGTGGCACCCCTACCAAAAATTTCCAGAAAATCAACCCAACCCCTGTTCCTTATAATGCCACTCACACCACAAGCAGCAAAATCACGCAAAACAACTACCCGGTCTATGACAATGGGCCTAACAAAATGTATTTAGTAAACCTTCGATCCTTCTCGATGGTTGGGAAGCAAAGGTGATGAAAATAATGCCTCAATGCATTCTCAACCATGAATACCCCTGGTTCATCCACTGCTAAATCAGTGGGAACATCTGCCCCTCGCTGGCCAACGGATAACTGGGTTCTGTCCTATTGCCACGTGCTTTCTTTTAAGACATTTTTGAACAAGGTAAAATCTTTAGACACTTTTAAAAAAAGTGGGTTTTTAAAACTTTGATTCAAACCAAAAATTGGAGATTTAAATAGTGTTTCTTGTCGTTGGTGGGTATGTGGTCATGTTTGAAAGAAATTTGATATGGTTTGGTAGAGTTTTTTAGCATAAATCGTGAGAGAGAATAGAGGGTTTCGAGTTCTTTGAATGCTTGGAGTTGTATAAAATCAGAGAAGAAGGTCTCGTCCATTGATAATATTCAAGTCTCGTCTGGGCGGTGGGAACCGCGTCTGGATTGTGCTTTAAAATCTCTCCATTTCCCCATGCATTTCTTCTTTTTCATGACTCTTCACTAGGTCAGACTTAAGAGGTGCCTCCGGAGAGCAATATTGGCGTCCAGATAGTGATTCTTGCATCTGCACAGTGGGAAGCGCATACGAACATTGAAAACTCTTTAGACTTCATGATTCAATACTTGCGTTATGACAGTGGAAGTGAGGACAATTTTACTAAAAATTAGGCACAAGAACATAAATTTTCATACTAATTCTAGGAAGAAGGCCAAGGTGCATCATAAAGAATGTGAAATTTGTCAAGAATCAGACCATGCCTTGAGAGCTCTATCGTAATCCACTTCAAATCCTCCAGGATCTGAAGCAAAATGTTTGTAGCAATGCGAGCATCCCTAGGATCTCTCACCAAGACACCTCTTCCAACACCAATATCCTCATCTGCACCTATCTCTGGCCCCGCTACTCTCCCCATAGCACTACGGCTCTTTAGCAAAGCTATATTATCCAACTGCTTCATGTGGTTTTTCTTAAACATCCCATCCTCAACCTCAATGCCTTTACCCGTACAAATCTGGGCAGACAAATAACCAAAATGCAAAGAGGTGTTATGCATGGTCTGCTTCATCACCCACCTCTCAACCATGATTGGGGAAAATAAACAGATAGTCCGATTTGTGCCAAGAGCATACAGTAACTTTGCTCCCTCGGTGTTCCATGATTCTTCGTACTATAGGGCAACAGATTGACAGTAGAAATGCAATTCATAATCTTATATTTGTTAGTCAACAACCCCTATTTAAGCATTTTGGGATACTAAAGCCAAACAAAATTGGGTTACCCAGTCAATTCTCTCTCCACATCCAACATATTCATCACTGTATTCAAGGTAAATTGCGGCCTAGATACCACATTCACCCCAGCGACACTTAAAATCAGTGTAGAATCCACTATAAAAGTAACCCCTCTAACAAACGTCCAAATACTCCTCAAATTAATATGATTACAGTTGCAATAAAATTCCCTATACAAAGGAGTGGCACCCCGACCAAAACTTTTCAAAAAACCAACCCAACCCTTATTCCTTGTAATGCCACTCACACCACAAGTAGCAATATCATGCAAAACAACTGCCCGGTCTATGACAATAGGCCTAGCAAAATGTATGGAGTATACCTTCGATCCATCTCAATTGTCTGGAATCGAAGGTGATGAAAATAATGCCTACATCCATTTTCATCCATGTGTGCCCCCAGTTAAGCCCCTGGTGAATAAGTGGGAACATCTGCCCCTCACTGGCTAGCTGAGAACTGTTTTCTGACCTATTCCCACGTACTCTCTTTTAAGACATTGTTGAACAATGAAAAATCTTTGAACACTTTCGAAAAAAGTAGGTTTTGAACAGTTTGATTATAGCCCGAAACTGGACAATTAAATGGTTTTTATTGCCTTTGGTGGGTATTTGGTGAAGTTTGTAAGAAATTTGATATGGTTTGGCGAAGTTTTTTGGCAAAAAATTGTGAGAGAGAAAAGAAGGTTTCGAGTTCTTTAAAATCTTGGAGTTGTAAAGAATCAGAGAAGAACGTCCCATCCATTGATAATATTCAGGGCACGTTTGGACGATGGGAGCCGCATCTAGATAGTGCTTTAAAATCTCTCCATTTGCCCAGGAATGTCTTCTTTTCACGACTCTTCACTAGGTCTAACTCAGGAGGTGCATCCAAACAACAATATTGGTGTCTAGAAAGTGATTCTTGCGTCCGAACAATGGGAAGCACATTTGTACATTGAAAACTCTTTAGAATTCGTTATTCAATACTTGCATTATGATAGTGGAAGCGAGGGCAATATTATTAAAAACTAGGCACAAGAACATGAATTTTCCTACCAACTCTAGGAAGCGGACCAGGTGAATCATAAGGAATGTGAAATCTGTCAAGATAAGGCCATGCCTATAGAGCTCTCTCATATTCCACTTTTGATCCTCCTTGATCTGAAGCAAAATGTATGTATCAATGCAAGCATCCCTAGGATCTCTCACTAGAACATCTCTTCCTACTCCAACATCCTCATCTGCACCTATCTCTGCCTTAGCTTGTGACACTCACAAATAACCTTATGATCACCCATCAACTCGCAGAAGTACCCATGAAGGCCATTTAACCTGACACCACGTCTTACATCCCCTTTACCATGATCACAACCCAAACGAAAACCCGGCAAAGTCTCCCTTGCACAGGTGCACTACCAAACACATAACTTGTTCATGTACTAATCGTATGGTCATTCTGAGCTCCAATCCTATCAATTAGAACTTATTATTTAACCAATTTCATCATTCAAGGAAAAGGGATCAAGACCTAAAGGCTCGACAATGCTATATTTTAAATTTTCAAAATTTTGGAAGAAGCACTAGTATCTTTTGTACATGATACCAATACCTGAGCCTTCTGGTTTTTGGGACCGGTACCTAAGTGACGTGATACTGGTATCTAAGCCTTCTATCTTTCAGGTACTGATACCTATATGATTTGGTACCGGTACCTGGATCCTCTATCCTATGGGATACTGGTACCTAAAGCCTAGGTACTTGTACTTGAGCCCATTGGAATCCAAGTACTAATACCTATAAGCCTAAGTACCGGTACCTGGGTTGTTCAATAGTATGGTATTGGTACCTAAGAGCCTAGGTACAGCTACCTTGACCCAAATTTTCCCCCAATCTTTCCAATTCTCAACTTTAAACCATCCAATCACATTTCATACTCAATACATTCATTAATTTGCATCAAAATATGGTCTGAAGAGTTCATCACATGTCTCTTCTTACAAAATTTCAAGTCCATAAAAAAATAACATCATAGATTACAAAAAAGTGCAATTTGAGAGCCACACTCCAGCTCCGTCATCTACAAGGACCCAAGTGAGGGTCTTCCACCGGTGCTTATCCAACACCTGAAATATATTTCCCATAAGGGTGAGACATGCTCAAAAGGATATCTCCAAAGCTGGCTATTTCCCAATCTAGATGCATATGAAATGTCACATACAATTCAACAAATCAAGCATCCATCCAATACATATATCTCATGAATGAATACTTCTTAACCATGCCATGTCATGAGATGGAAATCACACATGCAATGTATATCTGAGCCCTCCACCAGCTCCCATAACACATGGCGTGTCATACGTATGCATCCGAACATTTCATAACCCCGCCATTAATGTTAGACATCAAATGACAATTTTATAAAAAAATTTGTGTCTTTCTTGGGGTAGGTATTTATGGACTTTCACCAAAGGGTACCCAACTGACATGTCATCTATGGACTTCCATCAACGACTTCTCATACACCGACACACTTTATAGACTCAATACCAATGAGAGTGTATATCCAACAATTCCAAGTCTTGCACCCAAGGGACAATCTAACCCTTCTTGCTAACCCCGACACATATTTTAATACAATCCATGCAACTGGGTCGAATCTAAGTCCAACCTTCCTGAGCCCATAAATAAACCCACCAAAGATGGCATTTGATCAAAAATATGCACACACACCCACACTCACGTGAATGCCCATTAAAGCGCTGCCACCTGTGCAAATGCAAATGTAGTGCACAATTGCAAGTTACAATATGATGTTCATTGCATAATGAGCATATATCAAACATATCCATCTCCTCAAATGTCAATTATATCATAAGAATATAACAATAATTCATAACATCAATCCCAAGCATTTTATATCATGTTCATTTCAAATAACATACTTAATCATTCATATGCATTTTATCAAGCACCCATAAGACACAAAGATTATGTAAACACATAGCATGCCCAAACACACATTATTCATGAAATTCAAAACCAAGCAATTTCATCAAAACCTAATCAAGCAAGATTTGTTTTAAACACATTCTTATTCCCATTTCCATATTCTAACAACCCTAGGTATGTGTTACACATGAGATTTCATCTCGAACGCCCTACCCATTTTATATTTTAACCCTAGGTTAGAAATAAACCTTGTTAAAAAATGAACCCTTCCTCTTATAATGTTTATATGCGCAGAAGAAGCTCCAAAAGACCCAAATCTAGCTTGCAAGCTTTGATCCAAAAAAAAATCATGTTTTTGAGATTTTGGCAAAACTCGCAATCTTTGGTATGTACGTGCAGTTCTCGTTGCATAGAACAACCTTTGTTCTTGGCCCGAAGAGGTCTGATGATCGGATCACCATAGATTTGAGAAGAAAGTGACGAAGAACCTTGGCTTTTCTCTTTTCTATCTGTTCTCTCTCTTTTTTTGAAAATACTGAAGCAAAAATGGGGAGAAAATCTGGTTTTCTCCCCTTTTTATACCCTCAATTGTTTGGCTTTTATTAAGCCGCATGTCTCATCTTTTTCTGATGTGATTTTATTCCAAATCAATTAAATCTCGTCCTATATTGAGTTCAATATATTTTGTTTGAACTAACTTTAAATTATTTCCTAAATTTGTGAAAAAAAAAACATGATCACATTTATTTTGGTCACGCAATGCCCGATTGCACCGTAAAAAATAAAAAATTCGACTGTCTTGAAATTCGATGAAAATTGATTGGGCAACTAGATTTTGCGAGACGAATCCAACTGTAAGGTCCAATTTGTCACCCAATTTTTGGAAAGATCAGTTTTATAACTCGTACTGTAACAGCTAATTACCATTTTGTTGTTTGTAATAAAATGTTGTATTATCCAAATGCTTCGTGTCCTTCTTCTACAACATCATATGCTCCACCTCAATGCCATTACCCATACAAATTTGGGCAGAGAGGCATTGTCCATGGTCTTCTTCAACACTTACTGCATCTTAACCATGATTGGAAAAATAAACAGATAGTCTTGTTAATGCCAAGCTCATACAATAACTTCACTCTATTGGTATACACATGTTTCTTCGTACTAACCAGCAATAGGTTGACAACGGGAATCCAATTCAACATCTTATATTTGTTAGTTAATAGCACCAGTCTAAGCATCTTAGGATTCTAAAGCCAAACAAAATTTTGTTCCCCCATCAATTCTCTTGCCACATCCAATATATTCATCACTATAGTCAAGGTAAATTATGGCCTAGATACCTAATTTACCCCAGCCACACTTAATACACAGTGCAGAATCCACTATAAAACTAAGCCCTCTTACAAAAGTCCTAATCCTCCTCAAATAAATACGTTTACTATTGCAATAAAATTCCATAATCAAAGGAGTGGCACCCCTACCAAAACATTCCATAAAATCAACCCAACCTCTATCCCTTATAATGCCACTCACACCACAAGCAAGAAAATCATGCAAAACCCAACGAGAAAGGCCAGAGGAAAGCTGTAGTTTCTAATTCTGGGGGGAGCTTGAGCCTTATGTGCTCAAAACGAGGAAGAATCCATCTACAATGATACTATTGAGAAAGATAGGGGTGATGTGTGAGTGAATAGTTGATGCTGAGAGTTTAGGGGAATATTCGAACAGTTTGAACTATTACTGATTGTGGGCTTGAGTTCTTCTTTAAGCTAGTTGAAGGGTATGTTTTGTCTCTTTTTCGTGAGTTTTACAGGCTTGACTATTGTGGATATGGATATGATGATTTTGAGGACAACAATTCGTGGGAAAGTGATAGAGGTCACTCCGACGAAGATAGCTACATGCCTGAGCTATACAATGCCTGACCACTCTAAGATAGACTACCCTCATGTGAAGTTTGTAGCAAAGGACCCTTCTAAATATGTCAAGGAGATGTACAAGAAGTTTGAGGGGTTAAAAGGCACTTTTATCCACGGTCATCTAGAGGTCGAGTATAGGTTGTTCAACAAAATCATTCATTATAATATCTACCCCAAGGGCTTAGAGAAGAAGTCAGAGATGCCAAAGATTGTTCTTTTGTATGAGTTCATGGTAGGGTCTAGGATCGATATTGCCTTGATGATTTTGGGTGTGTTGAGAGACTATTGAATGACAAGGAAACTGAAGGAGAATATGCCCTTTTGTAGTATGATCACCAAGTTCTGTTAGGGAGCTGGGGTGAAGAAGCTGGCATTCAACACTCTTTGACCTCCTGAGTTAGGCCTTATTAGTCGCGTAGGGGAAAGGAAGAGCTCTACGATGTCTAGGGCTAGTGGGTATAAGGGAAAGAGCAAGACCACTCCTTCTACTTCTGTTGATGCTACTGATGCTGCCCTTACCTTTTGAGCTACTGTTCACTAGAGACTTTGTAAGTTGGACAAAAGGTTAGGTGATATTGAGAATGAGGTAACAGCTATCAAGCGTTCTCAAGAGAGGGTGAAGAGGCTCTTTGAGTGTCCTTTTCTAGCAGAGACATTTCCAAGGGAGACTCTAGCGCCTACTTCTACTTCTACTCCTACTCTGGGCCAGGGTCTGCTCCTATTGCTACTACACCTAGATTCTTAGTGATTTACTTTAGGACCTATTTCCCAACTTTTTGTGTTTCCTTTTTATTATTCTTGTCTAGTTAGTATATAGGTTTTAGAAGAATGTTAGGAAGTTTCTTTTGGGTAGTAGTAGTATAGTAGAAGAACCTTAGGTAGTAGGTGATGAGCACAAAATATTGCATATTTAACGACATCATTACATTCATTTTAACTCAACTTTACAATTAATTACTTAGAGTTAGCCAAAGTTGTGAATAATGTTAAAATCTTGTAGTTGTAGGTAATTATAGCTTAAATGATGGATTTTAGGACCTTGCAACTATGTGTGGATGTGTGGTGAAGAGATGGACACATTACATGAGGATTTGGAGGCTTAAAAGTGAAAGAAATCAAGGAGGTATCGGTGTTTGGTAACAAGGGCACCAACACCCGCACCATTTGGCAACTGTACCTTGATTTTTCTCCTTTTGACCATGATCTACTTGGAATCTGAAATAGTTAAAAACATGAAAGTTGTAGATCTTTATGTCTTATTTATTGTGTCAGACTTTCCGCTCAATTGGACGGTTAGATAAATATTTATGACAATTCTACAAAAATTGGTCCAGAGCTGGCACCTTCCGGAAAAACCTACTGGTAGGTTTTGGCTATTGGAGTTCGAC